ACTGCGCACGACTTTTACGTATTGCGGTGCCAGATATGACCCTGGACAGATAATCATTAGGAACTTATGAAAGCTCGACCCCGGCCGGCGCCCTGGATTTTGGTCTTTTTGCTGAACTGTTGCCCAATGTGGAGTCCTGCACTAGGAGGAGACTTGGCGCGGACGCGTCTCATTACTTCTGAAGCATTTAAGGTGCGACCATCGTTCGTTAATACAGACGCAAAGAGAACCGTGCATTTCTATGGCAATCACGGGGGATCCCGTCTCTTAGAATTACTGGCGAGATCTCGCCCGAGCTCGCACTTGGAACAGCGACTTCCCGTGAGTCAGTAGGGATACCTGGGAAACCGCATGACCACCGAAGTCCGCTGGCTGCAGGGAAAATGCCAATAAATGCAGTTAAGTCCCTATCTTAGCTTTGTGAATCTCAATAAGGCCTTCAGCACCGTAAACTGAGACGGCCGCTGGATGATAAGGAGGAAATTTGCATGTTGTGACCGGTTTATATTGATAAATAGGCATGTCGAGACAAGTGGTCAAATTCGGGCGCCTTTGCAGTAACAAATCTGGTGGATCGGGACCGCATCCTCTTATACATATCTCCACCTCGTATTCTGCTCAGTGCTGACGTACGCCCGCATAGAAGAACGACCAGACACCAATAAATAACTTTATAACCAGTGGAAAACCATTCAGCATTGCCCTAGGATACATTACCCCCATTGTCAAAGTTTATACAATGAACATTGAAACTGAGACAAACATGCACCGAAGTCTAAATATCTCTGGCCCTCAGTTCGTCGGTTTCGACTAGTTATTAACGCATAGGAAATGGTTATCACGCAGCAAATGGCGCCAATTGTCAAATACACAAAATCCACAGCAACTGACGATAATAGATACCTCGCGTCGGTAGTTTAGCTATTTTTCTTTGGTAACCCCGCCGCAAAAACCGAGGATAAGGTCGCGGCTCTGATCTCTGAAGTCGGTTAGGCCTTTGGCAGGCCACAATGCTGGGTTTGGGATCGCTGTGAAAAACCCACAGACATGTTGGACATTTATGCAATGGTGAAGCAGGTCTAAGTACAATGGAGCAGTCACAGCACCAGGATGACCGATGAGCACACCTTGAAGCGACTCTACGACGGCGACGCTGCCAAGTCCATCTGCAGATAAGTCGGACAAAAACATCACTAGGGGGACACTTTGAAGACCTATCTCAAGTGTGTCCACATTAATCAGAAATGGAAGGGTAACAGGGTTCTGCTAAGCGCGAAAAGTCAGGCTGCAGTGACACCGTCCAGGTGTGACCATTATGACATCGTCACTTGCCCATGAGTCAGGCCCCCTCAACGAGGCCTGATACACGAGGGTTTCGGAACCAGGCGGTGTGTTGCACGTGTAGACGGGCTGTTTGGCCTTGTTAACCAGTACACACACGCCCATCCACAGTCGTTTTAGCTTTGTCTTGCCGCAAAAACGCGGTGGCTATGGGGAAGGAGAGATGCGGGGAAGTGGGTTACGTAGAGGCCTGTCTCATTATAGGGTGAAGGACCTCATAACTGCCTGTAGACTGTAGATCCTGTCATATGGGATTTATCTTGGCATCCATTTGCAAGCCGGTGAAGGCATTATACTGCCAAGAACAATTACTTCCCATTACCTCGAACCATTCCTCAAATTTCGCTAACGCGTCATTTCACTGCCGCACGCGAAGGCGTACGATAAGAATTTCAGCGGAAATCCTAACAATTGCTGTGTATTCTTGCATTTCTTCAGCTTACTGTTTGACATGCTGCCTTATCCGTGAGGCCCCCATCGCTACCATTCCCGTATGGCACGATCCACAGTCCACCGACAGTTAAGTGGGGTCCTTTACCCTGCCATTGCCTAGATAACTTCCTCCTCCCTCTCCCATAGGTCTTGTGGCTGTGCCCATCTTATGGGGCCGTGGTGGACCTCGTCACTTGCGCCGGCCAAACGATCGCCTATGAAGAGGCAGCGTCTTGACATTCACGGACCTAAAGATATAGCCCACGTGAGAAAACGACACGTCTTAAGAG